GCATACTCTGAAATAATAGATGAGTAGTATGAAGCCTTTGCATCCTTAAGCATTTTATTCACAACCCGGCACTGGTCGACATATATCTGTCTGTAGACGCACAGTCTTGACGATTGCCAACGGCGCTCCAGATTCCGGCGTTTTCTCTTAGCATCACTAATACCCTCGTGGTACCATGGTGCTGATGGGTGGAGAGTTATCACGCGTCGTTTTAAAGGGGCTCGCCTTTCAAGTGTTTCCGTCAGTGTGTTTTCTTATTTTTCAATGAGACCCGTAAGATCAAGGGTGCTAGTTGACAGAAGGTTGGACTGCTTTAGGTCATCATTAAAACTGCTCATATTTACCGAGCGCAGTTTACGATAACTAATTTCCTTTTTTTCCAGGGGTGGTTTCTTTAGGCGAAGCTTGCAGTGTACAGCAGAGTGATCGGACAGCATGGGATCCCGTATTTCAGTGCTATTTACCAGTTCGTCCTCGGCTCTAGTTATAATCAGGTGTGTTGGACTAGACCGAACGATTCTAAGATGTTGTTAAATTTGACAGTATCCAGATTGCTGATATTATCCACGTGATAGTTGAAGTCACCCACTATGAGTAGGTTACCAGGGGACACAACTAACTGTTCTGCGAGAATGCAGAAATCTTCGAAGAATAGAGCACTATTTAGTTGATTTGCCTTAGATGGAGGTGGTCTATAGATGGTAACAATCCTAGTAGACCCAGTGGAACATGTCGTTATGATGTCCAGGTATTCGAAGTACTTGAAATTTCTTTGGGTTTGTTTTGTAACCCTCATGTGTTTCTTTATTAGGAGGCCAACTCCTCCCCCTCGTGCGTTTTTCCGAGGAACGTGGTAAAACTGGTATCCAGTGGGGCAAACTTCGGCGATGGAAAAATTATAGTTTTCATTATTACTCAGCCATGTCTCAGTCAATGCGAAAAAGTCTACGTTATTTTTGACTGCATAATCTTTGATCGCAATCTTTGATTGATCTGGTGTTCAACAAACAGAAGTCAATGGGTACGAATCCATTCTGCAGTTTTTGCTTTGAGCATCTTATGCTGATAAGATTGTGCCAATTCACTCCTCTGGGACAGCAATTTTTGGAGCCAAGGGTGGCGTTGTACAACACAGTGGCTGGCCGTAATGCATGGCTGCGTTTGGCTTGCGATGAAACAATGACCGGTATTGTTCTATTCACAAAGGGCCCGGGATTGAGCTTAAATGTCAGATCGCCAATTAGTTCCATGTTGAAAGCGGCGGAGCTGTTGGGATAATAAAAGCATGGTCTTTTGTGTCTTTTCGTCCTGCGCCGCTTTGATAAATTCCTGTGCAGAAACGAACCAGTGGTTGTGTAGCAATTCGTCCAGCGATGTGAAATGCTCGTTGTGAACAAAACATCTTTGTTAGAGTAATTAGATGTATTGTGAAGCAAGATTCCGGCAGCTTTGTGGGTCGAACGGAAATGCGACGGTGGATAGAGAAAATCCCTTCTAGGAGGCAGAATATTCAGCGTTGAGTTGCATTTTGGAGGCCAGTTTGTAGATTCGAAGCTTCTGTGATGTCTTCCATTCAGAAATGGTTGGTTGGTCCAGTAGAGAGCGAAGTAGAGGAGAAAGAGTGTAGAGCGATCACATACACGTCTTACTCGCATTATGCATTATTAAATTGTTACTAATTATTAAAATTATTTAATTGGGTACCCAGTCAACATTAAATTTATCCCAACTGGTTACAGGACATCCAGAAACAAAGTGCTGAGTGCAAATGCAATTGTTTTTCAAAATTTCTTTGGGTAGTCTATCTTGACTGTGGAGGTGCGGTGGCTTTATGGTAAGTAATGGCCAGGGTCATTGTGTTGTGTTCTTAGGCAAGACATTTTGCTCTCACAGGCTTCTCTTCACCCAGGTGTACAAATGGCTACCAGCAAGTATGCTGGGGGTAACCCTGCGATGCATTAGCATCCCATCCAGGGCGGAGTAGCAATACTCCCAGCTGCTTCATGCTAAAGAAACTGGAGTTAAGTGCCAGCCCCATGGGCCATTGAGGCCTGTATAAAGGCTTTACTTTACTTTTCTATCTAGACTAATGGCGGCAATCCATCTTCCTCTCCATTCTATTGATAGTTCTTCAGCCATTTCACCTTAATTTTTACAGATAGAAGGTATAGAAAAGAACCTAACATCTTTTTCATGGCCACTTCTAGCATGGCAATTGACCACAAGACACAGTACATCATAAAAACGCAAAAAAAAGCTTCAGAACTGGCGAACGCTACGGCTTTGTTGTCAAGGAAAGCTGTACACAAAGATGGCAGACTTTAACAGTTGTCAAGGCATGTGTCACGTGACTGAAAACTGAGAATATTAAACTCACCAGCTCCGAGATTCCATTAATGGTCGGAAGGGTGTCGGTGAAAGTTATTGCCATTTGCATGGTTTCTGCTGTTATCATTGTGGGTGTTGTTCCTGACTCCAAGGGAAGTGCTTTGGTTAGCTG